CGCATGGAAGAGAAAAAACTGGAAGATTTCCTGAAATTTATAAATCAGATTGATGAAATAATCAGATTCATTGGGGAAATAGAGGAAGAGGAGTGGTTACCTTTTCTGAATGTTAAAGTCATTCGCTATACTGAGGCCCTCAAGATGACATTGTTCAGAAAGAAGTCATCTGCTGGAATAATATTTAATTACGGGTCTCATCATAGCTACAGACTGAAGATCGGAATAATGAGGAGCACGATTATCAGAAGTCTACGATTGACGCACGTGGAATTCGGGAATAAAGAATTGGACAAATTGATTTGGATTTACCTCGGTAACATATACCAGAGGGAAGTAATAAGAAAACGTGGGTCGTGAAAAGTCGATAACAGGACGGTGATTATGGAAATAAAGTATGGATGAAGAAAGACTAACAAAAGTGGATATGCCTACCATTATACGAACTAACTCAAGAACTACAACCAACACTAAGAAAATGGAATATTCAGATGAAAACACTTCACACAACAAGAGAGGGTGGACTTCTCGAGAATTTACTGCATAGCATGCGGCGTCTGCAAATAGAAATATATTGGTGAAACGTTTGGGAATAAACCAATTCCATGGTCTGGCTCTAAAAATTATGATAACTACCATAGCAGAAGACTTTGGACAAGGCGCGTCTAAGTCATCCTGCCAACACAACTAGGTTATGAAAACCAGGTCAAACCACTTCTATTCATCTAAAGTAGACCGAGAACGAGTAGGCCACAACATCTTGTTCTTTGTATCCACGTTTAATCTATATTTTATTTTAGTTTTTATATTTATTTTTTTATTCGTTCTGACCATTGCTACTGCCATTACAGTAAGCTATTATTTAGTCTTTTTATTTTTCTGTTTTTTAAAATTTACATTTCTTATTACTATTCGATTAATCAAGATTTTTTCCTACTCAATTTTCCTAGCTTTTTCCATCTCCCATCGCTTTTTTTCTTTACTTATGCCATATAGGAGTGGAAAAAGCGTTTTGATGTTGCCAAGCAGTCTTTCCAGCAAGGTGAGTGTGATGTTAGTCAGGTAAAAGAAGCAAGCTCCATGCTAGTGCTCTATGACTCCCTACAACTGGCACACAAGTGCATTCTAAACAGCTTCTATGGATACGTGATGCGTCGTGGGGCACGCTGGTATTCAATGGAGATGGCGGGCGTCGTCTGCCATACGGGCGCCAACATCATCACTAAAGCAAGGGAACTTATTGAGCAGGTTTGTCAGAATTTGTTGTATTGTATCTGCTCCTTTATATGATTTATGTATTTTCCTGTTTTTCTACCATATTCTGCATACGTATCGGAAAGTTATTTTATCCATTTAACTATTATTCATCATATCTGCTGAAACTAATGATGTAAGAAACAAATAAAGTCCATATAATAAATATGTGTGCGTATATAGATAATACTTAAAAAATTACGATTATTTCCCCAAAGGTTATTGCATGTGCTTATCTTCCTTTCGTTTTTGTTTTATAAATAAAATCATAGCAGGAATATTTGATTTTTTAGATTTCTTCTGCTATTTTAGTTTGGCTTCATTATTC